GATCCCGGGACTCCAGGATCATGACCTGAGCCGAAGGCAGTCGCTTAACCAACTGAGCCACCCAGGCACCCCCATTATTAACACTTTTAAGAAGCAAGTTTACTTAGCTACGAATCAGCCTAACTGTGCTATCATCGACTCCCACTATTTATCTTACTCATGAGGATGCCATTAGACATTGTCAAGAACCTTCCTGAAACCCAGGCATCTCGTGTATGCTGGATCCTCCTTCTCACCTCTGTCCCACAGCACCTATTTCTTCAGGTAAAGAGCTCCTCTTTTGGGTGCTTTTTATGCTTTTCGCTTTCCTGACACACTGCACCAGACATTCCACCCACAGATCTATGGAATTCACTTGTGTGTCCCTTTCTCTGGTGATCTCTGCCTCCTTCCATTTTTTCATATGTCTCTTTCAACCCTGTGACCACTGGGCTTTTGTGGTTTTCAAAAAATCATCTGGACTGATGAATCATTACAACAGATCAAGATAACATAAACATATTGCAAAATCTGACAAGTATTAAATATAAAATTTTATCAGAAGTGCCTCTTTAAGGAGATGAAGCTTTCCCCACCCAAAGAGTTCATGTATACATAAAATATTACTTATTGCTAAATAAGACAGGGATTGATTCTATTCCTATTTTGTATTTGTCTAGATTAAAGCACACCCTCCAAAAAACCTGATTCATATAATTAGGAAGATGGGAATAGAAGGATTTTTGTTACAGCAATGTCACCTTACCCTAGGGACGCCTTCTGAGTTAAATGCCACAAATAATCATTTTTCACTTTTAATGACGTATCATCTGACAACTTGATTAGGCCCTCTTTCCCTTTTTTTAAACAAAAGCAACTTGGAAGAAACAGGTCTCAGATAAAGATTTATTACTTAGTCATTAGAGTCCCTCACCTTCTCAACATTGATACCATATTTTGAATTGTCCCTTTGTCAGGGCAAGGCGCCACTGTAAGATTTAGAACGGGGCGGGGGGGAGGGGGAATGTACGCCTGTGTGTTGCAAATGGGTGAAGGGCAGCCGTGACAGGGAAGGAGGGAGAGGATCGAGCATGGCACGTGGGAAAGCCCCAAAAGGCCATGCTGAGGGACAACCAGCCATGGAGCTCTACCTACGTCTCTCTGAGCTGTTTCCCTAGAGTCCAGGGTATAAGTCTGCTGATACCCACTTGGCCATCATTAGTGTCTAATGCCCCAAAGATACGGTCATCTATTTTCAAGGTCCCTATAAATTTTTTGGCTTCAGTCAGATTCTTTCATGTGTGGAAGGGAACTTTCTCTCACTGCCTTTCTATATTCTGAGCAGTGGAACGGTCAACGCAACAGGGAAAGGATCCGTGGCCTGTGTCTAGCAGCAGGAAGCTCTGGAAGACGTGTGCACAGCTCTCCATCACCGCTCTGCCTGCCTCTGTGCCTGTGTGTCTTCTGTTTCCATCACCCATGTAAGGCCCTGGCTTGGCACACCAGTACGCACACCTTTACGTACAATGTTTCTTCCCCATCGTTATTTATAGCCACTTAATCCACACAAAGCTTCAGTGCCCTCCACTGCTGTGGAGTTACCCACCCCATCAGATCAAATCAGAAGTGGATGGCTTTCTTCATATTTTGCAGAAGGGAAAAGCGAGGGTCAGATTATCCAAGGCACAGAGCAAGCTGTCGAAGACTAGGAATGAAGGCCAGTTTTCTTAGATTCCTACCATACTCTCCCACCTAATTTCATGCCTGTCAAATGAAGAAAATAATGTTTTAAAATGCCAAGGGCACAATGTCAACTTGAGGAAGCCTCACGCGGCAATGCACTGAGTGCTGTCTCCTGACTGAAGCTTTCTACCAAGTCCATCTGGCACCCCAAAGACACAGCACAGAGCAGGCGTCCCCCCATGATGCGGAGCTGGAGGACAGAATATAAACCCCTAAAACCCAGAAGCCAAAGAATGATGACCAACGCTAACAGGTATAATTGGGGGTGAGAACTTACCGTGTCCCCAATCTTCAGGCCTTCACACTTCCTCTGGCCAGGGTAGGACACACCATCCTGGCAGGTAGCAGTGAAGAAGAGATTAAGATCCTCAGGCTGATCCCAGACGGACACCTCCACTTTAGACCGGATGCTCTGAGCAGAGAGAGAAGACGAAGCCAGAACCGTTTAGTACAGGTTGCAGCGGAGATGTTCACCGTCAGTGAGGTTGACAAGGGTCCACCTGCCATATGGTAACTATCTGCTTCCAGGGGGTGACGCTCTGTCCCTGCTTGCCATTCCAGTGTCACCTCTCATCCCACTCAGCTTTGGACATGCAGCTCCTCAAATCTTGCCACGTGCCCCCTTACATGGGCCCGGGACAGTGTTCCCTTAGTCAATGGCTCTTCTCTCTTCTCTTCCCCTGGCCAGCATCTTGTCAACCTTCAAAACCAGTTCAGCAAAACCAATTCTCCTGGAATGCACCCTGCCAATCCTCACACTCACACCCACCCTCCATCAGATGAGGACCACATTCGCTGAGTTTTGAACCACATTCTGAAAGAATAATATCTTACATGGGAATTATGTTCTCAAGATGGTGAATCAAATAAAAATCAAGCCAAAGTTACCCATCAGAATAGAAAAAATAAAAGACCAAAAATATCAAGTGTTGGAAAGGATGGGTGGAGCAACTGGGGCCCTCATCCTGCTGTGTGAATTGGTACAAGCTTTGACAAAACCATTAGGCAACATCTACTAATGCCTGGACCAACCTTGGACCTAGTAATTCACTGTAGGATTATACCCAACAGAGATGCATACTGACCAGAGACATGTATGAGAACGTTTACAGCAACACTGTCCACAGTAGCTAGAAACCAAAACCACCCAAATGCCTGTCAACGGTAGAACAGACTTTTAACAAAACAATTACGGTGTGTTCACATAGAATACCATACAGTAACAATTAATGAAATATGACATTCCATGACATAGATGAATCTTATGACACTGCCTGAAAGAAGCCAGACACAAATAGCATACACACTGTATGATTCTATTCATATGAAATTTAAAAGGAGGCAAAATTAATGGTTACCCTTGGAGGGATAAACAATGGAAGAGGGCACAATAGGTGGTTCTGGGTGTTAGTAATATTGTTTTTGGATCTGGGTGCTGGATACTATTTAGTTTGTGAGGAGTTTGTGCAAATTTCGCAGAAGCACGCCTGGAAGTTGAGAAACTTGCCACTAAAAATCTCTAAGAAGGACGTACTTTGGTGGCTCAGGCCCAATGAACTGGCTTGTGTCTAGGGGCCACATCTTACAAAAAATAAATGTTTATACACTAAGTACATTCAGTATGGCAGGATATACACACTCTAAGAGACACACGGATACATGGACCCCAAGATCAACAGATGACCCTTGAGGCCTGCACCCTCCTTTCTCAGGTGTACTTCAGGGAACATGAACAGATGGCTGGCAGGACTGCCTCTTGCTCTTCTGGGGTTCTTTTCTTTGTTTTTGTTTTGTTTTGTTTTTTCCCTTTTTTGCTGAGCCTGTAGTGCTAAACTTGAATAAGTTAAATATGTAGTTTTCCTAACAAATTAATAGCTTGTTGAAAATACTCCCTGCAAAAAATAGTCTCCCCCTTTGCAACAAATTGTCCAAGTGCTTCTGCAACTCTAAAAATACTCTCTCTCTTAAATCCATTTCCTCTTGTGTCAGCCTCAACTGGCAGAGAGTTGTGTGAGCATCTTTTAACATACACAGCACTCTCCTGCTGAACACAGTTCTTTACCGAGCTCCTTTCCCCACTGAGCTGTGAGTTCCCAGAGCCCTATCATATTTCTCCCTAGGATTGAAAACAAGCTTCTGTTGAAGGAATGGATGGATGTTTTAATGGCAGCTATGCTCAGGGGTTCAGACCTAGTGGAAGAAACTTAAAATTATTTTTGAAAGACAGGTCATCATTTTTTTTTACTCCTTATATTGTGCCTTTTATTCCTGTGACTTATTCATTCCATAACTAAAAGCTGTATCTCTCTCTCCCTTTCACCCTTTTTGCCCAGTCCCCCTTTCTCCTCCCCCCTGGCAACCATCAGTTTGTTCTCTTTATTTATAGGTCTGATTCTGCTTTTTGTTTCTTTCTTTTTTTCTTTTTTTAAGATACCACTTATGAGTAGAATCATATGGTATTTGTGTTTCTCAGTCTAACTTATTTGACTTAGCACAATACCCTCTAGGTTCATCCATGTTGTCACAAATGGCACAATATCTTTTTTATGACTGCATAATAGTCCATCGTGTATACACACCACATCTACCTTATCCACTGTCTACTTAGGGTGTTTCCATATCTTGGCTTTTGTAAATAATGCTGCAATAAACATAGGGGTGCCTGTATCTTTTTGAATCAGTGTTTTCATTTTCTTTGGGTAAATACCCAATAGTGGAATACCTGGATCATATGGTATTTCTATTTTTAATTTTTTTGAGGAACTTCCGTACTGTGTTCCACAGTGGCTGCACCAGCTTGCATTCCCACCAACAGTGCATGGGGGTTCCCCTTTCTCCACAACCTCACCAACACTTGCTACTCCTTGTCACTTTGATTTTAGCCATTCTGACGGGTGTGAGGTGATATCTCATTGTGGCTTTGATTTGCATTTCCCTGAAGATTAGTTATGTCGGGTATCTTTTCATATGTCTATTGGCTATTTGTATGTCTTCTTCAGAAAAATGTCTATTGGGGCGCCTGGGTGGCTCAGACGGTTAAGCGTCTGCCTTCGGCTCGGGTCATGATCCCAGGGCCCTGGGATCAAGCTCCCTGCTCATCAGGAAGCCTGCTTCTCCCTCTCCCTCTGCCTGCCACTCCCCCTGCCTGTACTCTCTCTCTCTGTCAAAATAAATAAAATCTTTTTAAAAAAATGTCTATTTAAGTCCTCTGCCCATTTTTTAATCAGATTGTTTTTTGGTATTGAGTTATATAATTTTTTTTTTAATTTTTTCTTTTTAAGTAATCTCTACACCTAATGTGGGGCTCAAACTCATGACCCTAAGATTAAGAGTCACATGCTCCACCAACTGAACCAGCCAGGCACCTTGAGTTATATAAATTCTTTCTATATTTTGAATATTAACCCTGTATTTGGATACATACATTTGCAAATATCTTCTCCCATTCAGTGGGTTGTCTTTTTGTTTTGTTGATGGTTTCCTTTGTTGTGCAGAAGCTTTTTATTTTGATATAGCCCCAATAGTTTATGTTTGCTTTTCTTTCCCTTGCTTTAGGAGACACATCTAGAAAAATGTTGCTATGGCTGATGTCAGAGAATTTATTGCCTGTGCTCTCTTCTAGAATTTGTATGGTTTCAGGTCTCACGTTCAGGTCTTTAATCCATTTTGAGTTTGTTTAATTATTTTTGTGCATATGTTAGAAAGTGTTCCAACTTCATTCTTTTGCACGTAGCAGTCCAGTCTCCCCAGCACCGTTTATTGAAGACAGACTTTATTTTCTCCATTGTATGTTCTTGCCTACTTTATCATAGATAATTGACCATATAATTGTGGCTTTATTTCTGGAGTCTCTTTTCTGTTCCACTGATCTATGTGTCTATTTTTGTGCCAGTACCATACTATTTTGATTACTACCGATTTATACTCTAAGACAAAGTCAATTTAAAATATACGTATTTTCTAATTGTGAATAACTATGAGAATGAGGTAAATCAGTATATCAAAGAAGGGCTAGGTAGATTGGAGCTATGTAAAAAATTACTTAGGATCAGTCACATAAAACATGAGGGTCCTGTGGCTTGCCAACAAGACACTGGGAGGAAACACTAGTGCTCCCTCCCCATGAAGATCTGCTGGAGCTGCCACCTGGAAGCATTAATGGGGGAGAAAGAGCACTGGGGACTGGGACTCCTATTGAATGAACTGGTAACTGTAATGGGTAGAAATCAAATCTGTGTTTCATTCTGGCTGTAAGACCCCAAAGCCTTGTGTTGTGATCTGAAGTTTGTGTTATTCCTACTCCCCATGGGAATCAGAAACTCTTTAAGATGTTGGGGGCAGGGGATAGGAATTGTGGAGATTATTCAGTTCAAACCTGTCAGTTTATGGAAGTGGGAACTGAGGCCAAAGAAAAGGTATCATCCAGGGTCATTCAGCTGCTGAAAGCAGGCAGGACAGAACCAGGCCTTCTCCCTGCAGTGTTCCGACCTTAGAACGTACCAATGGTCAGGTTGCATTCTGGTCATAAGGGTCTATCTCCTGTAAAAGACTACGGGATCCCAGAGGGCAGGACTGTGTTCTGTTTACTGTTTTGTTTTGTTTTTTTTCCCCAAGATATAGATGATGTCTGCCACACATTAGGCCATTGGTATATATTTGCTGAACAAATGAATGAATACATGGAATGGAACATAAAATATAGTAGAGGATCAAAGCTACAGGCAATGCAGTTCTTATGCATGAAGACTTACATATGACTCCTGAAATTCACTTAACTCCTACCAGATCTGCCCCTGAAGATGTTTCCTTACTCCTCATCCTAGGACAAGGAGACAATGTCAAGGATGTCAGAAGTTTAAAGGCTATTAACATCCTCAAGCAGGCTAGGTCACATCTGCAGTTGCTTTAAGTCAGGCCAGCTGTGGAGTGGGTGGGCGCAGACTGGATGGCAACAACGAAAAGAGGAACACGTGCTCCGCTAGGAGACACATCTACCAAAGCCTCTCCTACTACCCTCCACATGCCAGGCTAGCGGTTTCCAGCTCCTTCTGTTCTTCCCCAATTTGAAAAGAGCGCCCCCGTGATTCTGAGCCCTATTCCCCTTTCTCAATGTGACGTAATGCTGGTGTTGTGCGTGTGCACCCAGAGCCTCCCTCTGGGCTCTGGAAGAGAACATCTCCCCAGCACCGACAGCACAGCCAAACTCCACATTGCTAAACCCTCTTGGGAGGAGTTGGTGATCTCTCACAACGAAGAATTTGGCACAGCAAGCAAAAATACATAAATCAAAGCCCAGAGTTGAAGATTTCACACTATGAAAGCTGTCTACAACAGACTCGAGTCTGCAAGACATGGATTTAAACATACCCTTCCCATCTTGCTCCCTCCTCAGCCTGGCTAAATCCCACAGCTGTTTCATCTGTTACATGTGCTTCAACCAAAATCTCTTCAGAATGTCCCCACAGATGGTTGGCCAGCTCTCTAGGGGAGGTCAGAGTCAACACCCAAACTTAGTCATCTGCTGCATGACTCATATGGAATCCACCACAAAACACCGAGACGGTAAGGTAACACAGAGAAAAGCAAACAGTCCGGTCACAGCTGGGCTCAGACCCAGGCCAGGGAGAGGAGCAGGTGAAAGGAAAACCAGAGCTAAGTGCATGTGCACACACACACGCCCTCGAGGCCCAGCCCCGGCCTTGGAGTCTGTCAGAAATGACCGTGACCTGTGAGACAGGAACTAGTCAATGCTGAGCACCAACAGGCACCAACGCAGCTTCCACCAACTAGACCTGTCTCCAGATACCTAGCTGTCTCACATTTGTGTAGTTAGTATCTTTAAAATCCCCACTGAAGGGAGGGGGCGGGAGTAGGGAATTCCCAATGATCCCAACTCTTTGAGCTGATACACATGTTCAATATCTTGGTGGTGGTGATGGTTTCAAAAATGTGTACCTGTGTCAAAACTTGTCAGATTTTACACTTTATATCTGTACAGTTTATTTTGTTCACGATCTCAATAATACTCCTTTAAAATATTTCCACTGAATTTGAATAGTCACTGTGGATAGCATTCCAGAATCAGCCATGTTAAGAGTTGAGTTTCAAATGTTCATTCATAAGTTGTATGTCTCATTTCCTAACACATTCTTTCATAGGAGCCAGCTGAGCTCAGAGTTAAGCTATGGTCCTGGACTCTTAGAGTTCATCACAGGTGAAATGCAGCTCCTGCCTGGAAAAGATCATTTTCTCTACTCATCCAGACCCCAACTCCTCAGCAGCAGACAGGGCTCTCCGTTCCTCTCCTAACCTCCGCCATCCACACAGAGCATGTTCCCCAGGTCCCCGGATTTTCATTAAGAAAATGAATTTAGATGTAATAAACCTGCTCAGGGCCACTGCAACATATCTCAGAGAAAGGCATTTACGAGCTCCCACACAGGGAACCAACAATAATGCCTTGTGCTCCCTGGTTTTCAGCAGTCCCACACATAAATGTCAGAGTGTAGAACCACTCAGCCCCACAAAGCACCATTTTCCCACCCAGCCGGTCATTATGCCCTCCTTGATTAAAGCCATGGGAGCAGAGACCCTAGGCCTTCAGCAGGAAGTGCTCTCGGGGGAGCCCCCAAGGTAGGTCAGCCAGCCTCCCAACAGGATCTGAACTCAGGAGCTACCTAAGGATGGAAATGCTGGGGAAGGGGCTCCTCCCCAGAAACCTAGGAGAGATCCTCACCCCACCCTAGAGCCCAAGATGGGCTTATTCTTCAGCCATTTCTTTTCCAAAGGCCCTGGCCTGGCAAAAGGCAAACTATGGTCACACACACATACATACACACACACGCACCCATGCATGCACACACACCCCACAGTGACAAAAGGTCCAACAGCAGCCCCTCTCCTTTCCTTACCCAGGGGTCTCTCAGCCCCTGCACCCCCAGAGGGATGGGAAGTGCAGCACCAGGGGGTTCTCTTACTCTGACCCCTCTAGTCCAGTGTCCAGAGCTTGAGGCCAAAGAGGTTCACAGTAAGGAGTGGCCCTCAGAAAGGGGGCGACATTAGCAGGCCTGGGCCCCCTCCCTCACACACACACTCTTCTAAGACACTCTCTCGGTAGGTTATGTTTCCACCCAACATGGAAATGTGAAAACCACCAAAGATAAGGTGAACCCGGAAACCCTGGCCTGCTGGGTCCGGTGAAGACTTAAAAATCAGAGAACAGAAAAGAGGATGTCAGTATGTGGGGAATGGGGTAAGAGATGGGGAAGGAAGTCTTTGGTTTCTCTCAATAGGAAGTTCCAGGAGTGAGGAGGGACTGGAGCATTTGTGAGAAGAAGAGGACCTTTAACTGCACTAGAAGGTGGGGGCGGTTAGAGGACAGAAAACTATCCACAAATCCTCACTGCCTGGACGCTCAACCTCCAGGAGACCAAGTGAGGGCTCTGGGGTCCCCCAGTGGCAAGGACATTACCTCTGGTTCCTGGTCAGCTGAGCAGTATTTTATAACTCAAAACAGGACTGCATCAGTAGGTTGACAAAGTCAACACTGGAGAGGCAGAGCTCCAAATATTCATTTGTGTATCAGTCATGGTTGGGAAAGTAAGATGGTTTTTCTACCACACGGGTGGTGCCAACAGTGGATAATGAGGTTCCCAGAGGTTAGCCCACAAATGTCTATTCTACATAAGTTTAGGACTAACAGTGCTACTTAAAGTATATTTACTTTATGCATAACTTTGTTTTAACAGGAAGATGCACTCTGAATTCCAATTTGGGAATTACCTGGCCCCACGAGGGGCTGGGTGGACACTGAAAGCTGCAACCCTAGTGGGGCTTAGCAGGGAGGGGAGGGCTGAGGGTACGAACTTGCCAACACAAGAAACTGGGCTTGCCATTCTCCTAAGAAAAGTAGGTCTGAATCAAGTACTTCACGGGTCCACAGAACTGAGGGAAAGGAGGACAGGAAGGAGAGAGGTTTGGGAATCATAGAGCTGGGCTCGGCCTGAGGAAGGGACAGCTAAAGCACGTCTGGGAGTGCCCCACTTACTACTCACAGAGAGCCCAGTCAGTGTGACAAGTTACAGAGCAGAGAACTCACCAGGCCCTCACAGCCTCCCTCTGAAAGGCCCTGATTACAATCAGACCTAAGTGGGCAGGCAAAAGACCTTTTGCTTCTTCTCGGATCCTTATATTCCATTTTAGTCTGTAGCTTGATGCGGAGCTCTAAGGCCTGGGGCATGTTGACTGTCCTGCCCACTGGGAGGCGAGGTCAGCGTGCATGCTTCTCACTTCCTGCCAACACACAGGCAGGATCACCTCGGCAACAGGGCAGGTGCAGAGAACCCGTGCCCACCCAAGCATGGTGCTCCAATGGGCCCAGGCTATCATGAAGTCAGAACCCAAGCATGTCCAGGGGCCACTGGCCTGAGTCTGACTGAGCCATTTGCTGATCACTGGGTTCACATTTTGATGAGAGTCAAGAGGGCAGAGGCAAGGGGAGAGGATGCATCAAGTCGGATGGCCTTCTCCACCCCAAACCTGAGTGAAGGAGGAAGGCATCAAACTCAAGAGACAGGCAACAAAGGGGTGCCTGGGTGGCTCAGTTGATTAAGTGTTTGCCTTTGGCTCAGGTCATGATCCCAGGGTCCTGGGATCCAGCCCCGCATCGGGCTCCCCGCTCAGTAGGGAGTCTGCTTCTCCCTCTGCCCCTCCCCCAGCTCCTGCTCTCTCTCTCTCTCTCAAATAAATAAATAAGATCTTTAAAAAAAAGAGAGAGAGAGACAGGCAAAGAAAGCAGAGCCACACACACCAGCATAATTCACGGCCCACCTGCACGCACATCAGCTCCTGGGGCCTTGGCGGGAGAGGGTGGGGTGGAGGTGGCAATGGGGAAGAAATTGCTGACTTACATTGTACGCATTGATTATCAGCTGAATGATATTTTTGGAGTCTCCATGTAAAATCTCCACTGTTGTTCCAGGTATCAGGGCTGTGAAATTCTTGAAAAGAAAAAGAAAGGAAGAAGAAATGTAAGCCAATTTTGCCCTTCTATACTGACTGCTCTCCTGAGCTAGACCAGTAAGGACCCCGCAGCACCACACTCTCTCACACCATAAACTGGAGGAGACACCACCAGGCGAAGCGAGAAGAACCGGCTCTGGGGAACAGAGCTGCTACAGCAGGCTGTGAGATACCGACCTCTGAAGGTCTGAGTGCACAGGGCCTGGCAAGATCTGCTCCTGAAGTAGAATGTCCTGCTCCTTCCAGGAGACTTCTCCCCTCTGACATGCAACAGACAACTCTCTGAAATTCCATCCTCCTCTACGGGCAACATAGTCTCGATATTCTTGCCATCTTTTCTCAAGTCTACATAGATCTGTATTCCCAAGTTCAGCTCAAGGACGCCCTCAATATCTTCAGCAGGAGCAAAAGGGGAAGCTTTTCCAAGAGTCTCAACTATGGCCTCTTCCCTGAATAGGGAACTGAGATGTGAATGGTGGTTTCCCAGGGACAGCTGGGTATCTCGGGGTGAAATCCCGTAGCACAGCAGGCAGCCTTGAAGTTGTTGCCTTTCCTCTTTCATTTGTCCTAACGCCTGAGTAGGTCACGTATTAAAGTGCCAGAGACCTCTAGAAACTCCCACTGCCCTCAGCCTGTCCTGGACCGCATGGGCCGACTCCCTGAGCAAGGTGTCCTTGGTTCTGAGCAAGCACGGCTTAGGCCACAGTGGATCGCTTCTGTCTTGAAGTGTCTGGAAGCATACCCAGTCTAGTCTGTGCAATCGATCCTTCTAGAAATGTTCCTTGTAAACGGACAGGTTTTGTCCTGCTATCTTCCACTGCACAAAACAAGAAAAACAATCCTCTTCCCTTGTTTTCATCTTCTAAAATTGATTCGGACTAGAAGAAGAGAAAGAGCTCAAGTAGCTGTAAGTGGCATTTTATCAGTGATAATCTCAGGCAGAAGCAAGAGAAAACCACAGTCAGAGGTTCTTCTGTGGATATTTAAGAACAGTCTGGAGAGGGGACAGGGGCTGGCAATCTGAGGGGTGGGCAGGGCTGGGGAGGTATTGCTGATTCAGTTCTCATAACTTCTCAAGGCAAAGGAAGTCAGAGGGGAGCTGGGTTTTACATCTAGCTTACATGAACACTCACTGAGCAACTAGGAGACTTCTGGTTCAAAATGTGACTTGCCTGTGGTTGTGAGAAAGAACACATTCACGAGGGGAGCTTATAATGACGGTCCAGAGGCTGACCCGGGAAAAGTCTCTCAGACAGAATAGATTCATACACAGACTGCTCTATTCATTCAAGACATCTGTTGCTTTCTTTGGGAATTCCTGTCTCAGACTAAGCCCCTGGTCTGCTCTACTCTTTGAGGAAGGCATAAAACTCCGAATACTGGAGTGAGTAATGTAGCCTGCTTCGATGCCTGAATTTTCTTCCTGTACGCTTTTATTTTATATTGTTCTTCCCTATTACATTGGATATCCATTTCATCACCTGAAAAATGGGACCTCATACTATTTCCAAAGTTTTTCTCAGGATCAGACTAGACACCATATGTTTACATTGCTTATAAAGGCATGCACTGCTAGGGGAATGCTAATAGCTTCTTCAATACTATTATTTCCCACTAGATCAAGACAGGGCTATATTCCACCCCTCCATTGGATCTCCTCCCACATAGAGCAAGGCTGTTAACATTCCTCACCCCACCTCCCCACATTCTAATCTCCTATTCACCTTGGGGTCATCATGGGCCCCAGAATCAGGCCACCAGCCTCCCTCATTCCCTCCAGGCATACCTTGTAGAGCATATAATGGCTTTTTGTCACTGCAAAGATGAGGTTGATGTTGTTCTCTGCCAATTTCTCTCCAAGCAAGGCAAGGGATGGATAGTCCTAGGGCCAAGGCAAAAAAAGGTCAAGGCTGTGACATTTCTAATAGGCTGAGATAGCAGCCCCCAGCTCCAACATGCACTCAGGAACTCATCACTTGCTGGGAAAAACATCTTCCCCTGGCCACCCTTAATAACCAAGCCCCATCTGCAGCTTCAAACTGGAGAAATATGCAGAGATCTCCAGGAAAGGACCCTTTGGCACCTCCCAAACTAGACGCATTCCCTCCACCCCCTCCCAAGCCAGAATGGAGATATGATGAGTAGGAGATTCCCACACCTGATCTGTGCCTCCTCTATCCTTCCAGCAGGGATGGGGCAGAGAGGAGAGGCCCCCCAGAGTCCAGCCACCATACCCTACCATCTACGATCAGCACCTGTTCGTTATCTTTCCTCTCTTCCCTAAGACCTCTCCTCCCTATCTCCTTGCCCTATTTACCTGCTCCTAAGCCCAACAACTGGGCCTGTCGATGTCCCTCACAGGTCTTGCTCACAACTCAGAATGGGCAGAAGAGGCTGCTGACCTCTGGATTAAAAGCTGGGATGTGGTGGGGGAGGGGGGCCAAGCAGGAGGGGAAGGTGGAGGCTGAGAGGCAGTCTAATAATGTCCTGAAGGATTTTTAGGGCTAATGATGGGTACAGAGGTCCTCATCAGCTCTACAGTTATCAAGTTTCATAGTTATGAGTCCATTTTCCAGACTCCATTATTCTTGGATAGTATGTAAGGCTTGAAACTGGAGAAAATGGGCTTGCCCAGCAAAAAAAAAAAAAAAAAAAAAGATAAAATACTTCTCTCTAGCCAGACACCAGAATGGATTTGGGAAGGAAAAGGGTATAGTTTTGTTTGTTTGTTTTTTTTATTGCACAGTAAGTGTGACAAGATCTTGATAATTGTTGCCTCTAGGCGATAGATATATAGGAGTTCATTTCACTGGTCTATTATTATACATGTTTGAAATTTTACATAAATTGTTTTAAATGACATGGTCATGGTCATAGACTATTGACAGTGGAAGGTCCTTGGGGCCTCTCATTCTGGGCAGGACACCTACAGCCATAATCCTGACACCAACAGAACTCGGTGCCTCTGGGAACTCATTTCTAGAAGTCACAAAGTTTTATCTTCACTTGTTTTTCCCTATAACTTCTGTCCCAGTTTTGATCTCTGCAGGAGCACAGTCCCTGCCCTCCTGTAAGATCACCTCCACCCTCTGAGATGTATCCTGTCTGCCCTGGTCACCTCCTTCCTTAACTAGCTTGCATTTAAGTGCACAATGCCAGAAAGATGAACCAGCTACAGAAATTTGTGAGAAATGTTCTAAGTTAATGAGGAGTTCTGGAAGCCCAGCTGGGGGAGATGGAATAGAAACCTGATTCCCAGAACAGACTGGAAAGTCCACGAGTAGAGGGCCAGGTGAACACTTGGACCACAGGCCGGGTCATGGGAGCTGGGCGGGGGTACCAGGCTCTCACCATCTGATTGGACACAGTGTACTCATTGGCCTCGTTCAGGTGGCATTGGCCATCATGTGGCTGTACCAGGCCCCCCAGTTTTCCATCCAGCGCGATGTGGGGCACGTCGTCCGTAGTGAACACTAGCAAATGCAGTGCATCCTTTCGCCAGCCGATCTTCTCCTGAGGACAGAAGTTTGATGGGTGCCAAGCATTTCTGACTGCTGCCCAAGCCTACCCCAGGACATTGGACAGGGAACTGGCCCATCTCCCCGGGTCACGGTCTGAATCAGAGGCATTCCCCTACGTGCATAGCTGGGGAGCACTCGTAGAAACCACTCAGGAAGGATTCCACAGAGCTCAGAAGAGACACAGCCTGGACTGAGGAAGCCTAAGTGCACAGAGACAAATCTCCACAGCTAGGCCTATACTGGCCCAAGTGGCTGCAACCTCCCTCCTGACCGTCATACGCTTCCCTGCTCCTTTCAGTTATACCTGAGGGCTACCCCTTCTAGCTGCATGTATTATTCCTTCACCACAAAAGCCTTTAACCCACCTCAACCCAACCCCCCACAATGTACTCGGGCTGGCTGGCCTTATCTAAGATGACCAGTAAGGGAACACTTCAGTCCCCCAGTGAGACACAAATCGCTCAGAATGGAGTGTTCCAGTGATTAATGGATCTGTCTTTGGAGGATCTGGTAAAAATCTGCCATCTAGTCTGGTAGGTATAAACCACTTCAGCCATTAACTGAGCTACTTCAGTGTTTAAGGTCGATCAGATTGCTCTGTTCTCCCTTCCCAGCTTCATACATCCACTCCAGTCAGAGGCACAGCTAAACATGGTCTGTATTGCGAGGGAAAGACTCTGTTTCTCATATTGAGCCACTGTGGCCCCCATGCTACACAAAAACACTCCCAGTCGTTATTATTAGCAGCTGGACCCTGATCCAGAGCAACAGAAACTGAGACATGGCCACTTTCTTACACATAGTGAAAGGGCGTCCCCGAATATGTTGGTAGCACAGTGAATACATGAAGTATTAAACACGTCGAGAGTTATCTACACATGCATACTTGACGTGAAAGCCGGAGACTGGATTCACAGACTTTACAAGAGTTGTCGTTCTTCAGACAGATGAGGGGTTGAAGGCAACAGCGTCTTTCTTATCACCATACTGATGAATTTAACAGCCTTAAAGAACTGTAATATTTTCTCACTTGCTCCAAAAGCAGCATGGAAATAAAAAAATAAATCACAAAAATGCAGACTAATGAGAGGGAGAAAAAGGGTTTGAAGAGAAGCCAATGAGGACTGAGAGCAGGATGCCTCCTGTGAGAAGGAACTTAACCTTTTGGGGAATCAGTCTCCTCGATACTCAACATTCATCCAACATATAATTGCTGATCTCTACTGTGTGCCAGGCCCTATGGAAGGCACTGGGTCCACAAAACAGCTTATTCCAGATCCCAAAGAGCTTACAGGCAAATGGAAACACAACTCCCAACACCTCATGATGAGGGTGCTAATGAAGGTACATACAATGTCAATGGAAACGGGAGGGGAAAAGAAGGGAAAGCCCTCCCAGAGTATGTGAAACTTAAGCTGAGCTGGAAAGATAGGGAGGACTCTTCAAGGAAGCTGGAAGAAGAAATGAAGGAGAAGGCAAAAGAGTGGGGTGGGTGTTCTTGGCACTAGCAAAGGCACAAAGAGGAGGCCAAGCACATTTGGGGGACCTAGAATAAGAAACCTAGAAGGTCTCTGACAGCAATGAAATCTAAGCCATGACAAAACTAATTTGTGGTGTTAGAAGTCAAGACAATAGTTCCCCTTAGAGGCACAACTAGAGGGAGTTAATAACTGACAAAGGTCACAAGGAGGCTTCTGGGTTGCTGGTGATGTTCTGTTTATTGACCTGGTATTTCCACCTTGTGAAAATTTACGGAGATGCACTCTTATGTTGTTTTCTGCACATACACTAGACTTCGATAAAGAGTTTAGGGCGCCTGGGTGGCTCAGTTGGTTAAGCGACTGCCTTCGGCTCAGGTCATGATCCTGGAGTCCCGGGATCGAGTCCCACGTCGGGCTC